ATATATTTTGGGGGTGGGTACTGGGAATCTAACTCAGGGCCTTGTGCTTGCGAGGCAGGCAGTGGAACCACTGAACTAAATCCCTGGCCCTGTAATATCTGATAACCAGTGAATTTACTGGGCCCAAAAGACTTGTGTTCTATGTAACCAACGCAAAGGGCTTAACTCCTGTAAATCCACCTCCTTGAGAGTATAATCTGCCCTGCTCAACCCTAAAGGGGGTCAGTCTCCATGGAGAAGTCTCAGACTGATCCGCTGGTGTTAAAAATAAAACTGTACACTTTGCCTCTGAAACTTTTGGGTATGGCTTCCATCCTCCTGTTCTACCTGCCTGTACGTTCTGGCTGGCATTTTGCTGCACACTTCCTGGAGGTCATGAACATAGCAGTACAGGTGGATGTGCAGATCCAAGATGCTCATGCATTTCCTGCACACAAGGAGGGTCTGTCCATAGCTAGTGAGAGGACTTGGAATAAAGCCTCCAGTACAGGTGAAGAATTCTTGGCATTTTGCAAGCTAATAAGCGGCGTCTAGCTTTAGTCCTCTCAACTTTATTATCTTTTTTTTCTTTTTTTTTTGGTACCGGGGATTGAACTCTGGTCCTTGTGCTTGCAAGGCAGGCCACGGAACTGCTGAGCTAAATCCCTGGACCTCTCAACTTTAAAAAATGAATGATAGTCAAGTGAATCATGGCCAGTAGGAGGTCCTCACTCGGGTGCTGTGAGAAAACAAATCCAAATTTAGTTCCTCCATTTGGAAGCTTACCTGTGCTGATGATGTCTTCCGGAAGTTCATCCCCACAGTATCTGAAAGGGAATTTGTAGAAAAGAGAGGTTACGGGAAGATAGGATACAGCTCTTCAAGTGGATCCTACTGATAGTAAAATGCTCTCTTTTAAGTAATGACCCATTTTTCTATTCTGTTTTTTTGGTACTGGGGATTGAACTGAGGACCTTGCGATTGTGAGGCAGGTAGCAGAACCACTGAGCTAAATCCCCTGTCCTCATTTTTCTATTCTTTTAAAAAAGTTTTGTTTTTTTTTAAGCTTGGATTTGTAAGGAAGAAGGTTTGAAACAAAGTTTGTTAGGGCCACGGATTTAGCTCAGTGGTGTCGCCACCTGCATCTCAAGTGCAAGGACCCAAGTTTGATCCCCAGTACCAAAAACAAACCAAAAAAAAAGAAACAAAGTTTGTTATCAATATTACACTTTCAAGAATAGATTTTTGACAATTCTAGTTTGTGTACCAGAAAAGTACATTTGTGTAGTAGATAATTCAACTAACTTGGATATATAAACATTTATTCCTAATTTTTTTATAAAGTTTTCCCTGTAGATAAAGAAAAATGGGTGTATGGTTGATAGTATTCATATATTATAAGATTGATTTAAATTTAGAAAAAATTTCAGAAGACCTTTGATTTTTTTCTGCATCATGATAATTCACAATATAAAAACAAAGATTTTGCTAAGTTTCTCAAAATATAATTTATTTCAAAGGAGGGAAAATTATTATAAAGAAAAACTATATAATATAAATCTAATAAATAATAATAAATAGCAATAATAGACAATAATAAATAAAAATAATAGTTTGTCATTTTCTCTGGAGCTGTAATTGATTTCAGAAATTAAGTTTAGAATAAAAATGTCTTTTTTTTTTTAGGCAGTGTCTCCCTTTGTAGTTCAGGCTGGCCCTGAACTCATTATGTAGCCCAGGCTGGTCTCAAAACTATTGCGATCCTCTTGCCTCAGCCTCCCAAGCCAGGTTTAAAAATGTCTTCTTAATTCCCAAGATAGGACACATCTTTT